CAACAAAATACATAACTTTACTACAATATATTTATAACGTAACATATTATTATTATTACCTCATCGAAAGACTTTAATTAACTACACTATATATATATATATATATATACTTAAAACATGGTATACACTGTGTGATGGTCAGGGTGACTTTGTAGGAAGAGGTAGTGGTCAAAGTAGTGGCAGTAGGGGTGCTTTCTGTTGCCCGCTTTCAACACCCACCCCTTAATGTCCTTCCACAGTGTTTCACGTGATTAATTAATAGACGGTCATTGGCCGCAGAAGTGTCTTACAGGTCGAAGTTGAAAGGTCACGGGTCAAAATAGGAAGTTGGTATAACTCAAAAAAATGGCTTTTCATATCAGCCTTATGGTGGCTGTTGGAGTAGAAACTTCAGCTGAGTTTATGAAGTCTTGCAATAGTGGTGACCATTTTTTTTAATGTCATTCCTACATAGAGATACATAAGGTGTTTGTGTGCCCCCTCCCCCTACACTATATGTATGTTGTATTAGAGAAAATTTAGTAATGTTTTCTTTCCCCGGTGGAAGGCCGTGGCGCTATCTATGAATAATGTTAACCTTAACTTTCGCGAAAGATAATAAATACTCAGTAATAGCAATAATGGGGAAAAGGGGGGCTGTGAAACCCCATTAAAATGCCTTTTGTTCCAAACTATCATTCCACAGAGTCTGGATGAGATTGGTCCAGCGAACTAGTAGTAGTTAAATGATGGACAAACACAGGTTTTTCTGTGTTATTTATAAATAAACGGTGATAATTGTTGTTTTTTTTCTCACGACAAAGGTCATCGCCACGGACCTTGGAAACCTGAGTTCCTCAACTTTTCTCACCATTACAGTAGAAGACGAGAACGATAATGCTCCACAATTCCAACACGGCCCACTTCTGGTGGAGCTTCCTGAGACTGCCAAACCAGGGTCAAAGGTGGTACAAGTTGGTGCCGTGGACGCCGATGCTAAAGGAATCAATTCCAAGGTTGAATATGTCATTACTTCCGGTGCAAGGAACGACATTAGAATAGATCGGTTAACAGGTAAAAAAACGTTAATATCCATCGAATAATTGGAGAGAAAGTTTGATTGCTGTATAATATAATTCTGGGGAAAAGTTTAACAAGTTTTCTGATCCTTATTTCCTTTTTAAGATTCTAATGTTAACTTTATAAACCGTAACCGTAAGATATTTTATTGTGATTCAAGCGATGATTAATATACAACTTCCGTTATACCAAACATACTCGCCCTTTCAGCCGTAGGGGCGTTATAATGTCACGGTCAATCCCACTATTCGTTGGTAAAAGAGTAGCCCAAGAGTTGGCGGTGGGTGGTGATGACTAGCTGCCTTCCCTCTAGTCTTACACTGATAAATTAGGGACGGCTAGCGCAGAGAGCCCTCGTGTAGCTTTACGCGAAATCCAAAACAAACAAACAATATACAAGTTACTCTTATCCCGTGTGTTTGAAAGTGTTTTTTTTTTCCACAGTCTGAATTTCTCTCATAACTCGATACCCTCTTTTGTACTTTTTAGGTGAAATATTCGTAGTTGGATACTTGAGTCCAGAAACGTTTTACTTGATTAATGTTACTGCTGTTGATGGTAAAGGACTGGCAAGCTCCACGTACGTGAACATTAGCGTCACAGACGTGAACGACCATCGGCCAGAGTTTGTTAAATCTGAATATACCTTTAACATCAGAGAAGGAGATTATCGAGAACAACGCTGGAAGCTCGGAGTATTACACGCCGTGGACGAGGATACGGGAAAGAACGGACTTGTGGATTACACGATAATGATGGCTTTCGATGAAGGCAATTTACCTTTGAAAATTTTAAACAGATTTAAGAAATTATTTTATTAGAATAATGTGGTTTTTTGAGTCACAAATGATGCTTTCACTTCGACGTTTGGTGGGGAAAAATCTTTAATACAAAATATATAATTATTTTCCCTGGAAGAATTATGAGTTACTTCCTCAAAGTCTGTACCTAATTAGGCTAAACTTTAGGCTAAACGTCTCTGAAAATTTTGTTTTCACTTATGCCTCCTTAAACTTTTACCAATTCTAGTTAGGCCTAATACGTTCTACATCACGCTTATGCTACTATTTTCCACTTAGGCCTAACATGCTGTATATTATCCTTTTGCTACGATTTCCACTTAGGCCTAACACGTTCTACATCACGCTTATGCTACTAATTCCACTTAGGCCTAACATGCTGTATATTATCCTTTTGCTACCAATTCCACTTAGGCCTAACACGTTTTATATTATCCTAAAGCTACCAATTCCAAATTAGGCCTAACACGTTCTACATTGTTCTTAAGCTACCAATTCCAAATTAGGCCTAACACGTTCTACATTATCCTTATCGACTTACTATGCCAATAAATCTTTTTTAACAATTCTAATGATGTGGGTAACTTATATCACTGAGTAACAAAATTAGAACTTTAACTTCGTAATCCTTTCAGTGAATGTTCAACTTATCAAAAAATCGGTTAGTACATTGTCTTGTTGTTTTCGTATTACATCAGAAGAACACATATTGCACAGAATTTACGTATCTTGTCATGGTTAGTGACCTATATAACCATATTATTTAAGTTTTTTTTGTTTGTTTGTTTCAATCATTAGTTTTGTCTTAAGTTCCGGTTGATAATCTACTGTTGTCTTCAAGAAAGGCCAGAAAAAGATTGTTTGTGATGGCAGTGTCTTGAATTCAGGCCATTCTTATTTTGTTAGAAGAGCTGGCGTACTTTCCAGGGTCTCATCGTTAGGACTTGCATCAAATAACTTCTTAAACGGTTTGAGGGAAGGGGAACAGGTTTCTCTTAAATTTTTTTCACTGTCATTATATATATTCCTTTTTCGGACTTTCCTGAAGATGGCACCAGAGTATCAGCCAAAAACTTAGAATAGTACCTATATAAACTGTTTTCTCTATGAACAATGTTTGTAGGTACTAGTGAACGCGTGCACACGAGCCCACTCAGAAATCACTGAATGTTATTGTTACTTGAGATAATTTAGCTAATTATTTTAATATTAAATTTTCAGAAAAGAAATTCGGTGTTCTGTTTCTTTCATTGGCTAAAAACAAATATTTATAAATATTGTTTGTAATTATTTATTTCTGTTAGCAGGTTTTCCATTTGTAGTTGACGTCCACACGGGAGAAGTTTTCTCTAAAGGTGTTATTGACCGAGAAACGCTCTCCTCCTACACCTTTTCTGTGATGGTACGATCTTGATTTTTCATTTTCTGAAACTTACATTTCACAGTTAATGTTATGTTTCGTATCTGCTCGTTTGTTAATTTCCGGTATAATTTCTTTCCGAGGAACTTCAGCGATACAAGTCCTTTCTTAATTAAAACTAGTT